TTTCTCTAGTTGCAGCGAGCAGGGGCTGCACTTTGTTGTGGTGCATGGGCTTCTCAGTGCCATGGTTTCTGTTGTGGAGCACGGGCTCTAGGTGCGCAGGCTTCAGTAATTGTGTCACGCGGGCTCAGTAGTTGTGGCCTACGGGCTTAGTTGCTCCGTGGCATGTGGGATCTTCCCAGACCAGGGCTCGAACTGTGTCCCCTGCATTGGCAGGCAGATTCTTAACCACTGCGCCACCAGGGAAATCCCTAAGGTCTGTTTTTAAGATTTCAGTTTCACATTGTTTATTGCTGGTATGTAGAAATACAGTTGATTATTATATCTTGAGCTTATATCCTGCTACTCTCTTCACTCGTTAGTTTTAGTAGCTTTTTTGCAGCTTACTTAAGCTTTTTTATGTAGACGATCAGATTGTCTATGAATAGAGAGGTATGTTACTGAGTGCAAGTTCATGTCCCCGACACACAGTGAGGCCAGTCAAGCAGAAACGTCGAGTTTGAGAAACCTTTCAAGTAGAGAAAGGTTTATTGCAGGGCTGAGCAAGGAGAACAGGTGGCTCAAGCTCAAAAAACCCCCAAACTCCCTGAGAAATTTCAGCAATGCATTTTTTAAAGGAAAGGTAAGGAAGGGGCGTCCCAGGGTATGTGATCAGCTCATGCACAGTTCTCTGATGGGTTGATGATGATCACTCCTTAGGCGGCAGAAGGTCTGGGGGCTACCTGCTCATGATCATCAGGTGGTTAATTTCTAACATTGGTTGGTGGTTTTAGCATCTGAAAAACTCAGGAAGTATGCATGAGATACTATTATCTGGTACTTCAGAGAGGAGCTGCTGCAGAGGATATGGGGGAGGGGTCTGTCTTGGGAAGGCCCCATAGGCTCTTGCTCAGCTATGGATAGTTCTTCTTACTTTCCACTCTGGATACCTTTTTATTTATTTATTTTGTCTGATTGTGCTGACTAGAGCTTCCAGGCCAGTGTTGAATAGGAGTAGGGAGAGCAGGCATACTTACCTTGTTCCTGATCTTAGGTGGGGAAAGCATTCAGTCTTTCACCATTAGGACTGATGTTACCTGTAGATTTTTCATAGGTGTTCTTCTAGTCCTGCTTTGTTGAGAATTTTCATTGGGAATGCGTGTTGGATATCGTGAAATGTCTTTTGTATGTTTGTTGATCTGCTGTATAGTTTTTCTTTTTTTTAGTGTTAATTATGGTGAATTACATCTGTTGATTTTTTAATGTTAAACAAGTTTTCATTCTTGGAATAGACCCCACTGGTCATGATGTATTATCCTTTTTATATGTTGTTTAATTTGAAACATCACCATCAGAGGGCTAAGAAACTAGGTTCAGTGAAAGAAAATGTTACTTAATATTTTTTGCTAGAAAATAGAGACTTTGCTGAAAATTCTTCCAGACTGTTTGTCTGTGAGAGAGTTCTGAACTTTCAATTTACTGTTCAAATTGAACCTGTTTTTTTCTCAGCAAGGAAAAGGGAGTCATCTTTATCTTGGCCAACAGTTTCCCCAAAACAGCTAAGAAGGATAGTTTCAGAATTGTCTTCTTTGAAGCCTTATAAATGGTATAGGTAGAGCTTTAGTTATAGTTCTTTTGGGTGTGCTTGGGAGATAGGAGTCAGAGTGAACTTAAAAATTGCTTAACAGTCCATTCTTGCTCTCATGTATTTGTAATCCAATCTAACATTTACTTTTTAAGAATAAAAGGAAAACTTTGGGGACTTCCCTAGCAGTCCAGTGGTTGGGATTCTGCACTTTTACTGCCGAGGGCGTTCGTTCAATCCCTGGTCGGGGAGCTAAGATCTTGTAAGAGTTGTGGCGCAGCCAAATTAAAAAAAGAAAAAGAAGAAAACTTTTAAGTGATAAATCATGATTTTTATATTAAATAGTATAAGTAGTGAGGTACAATTGTAACAACCAAAGCCCTAAGTCAAGGTAGTCCTCAACTGCTGGACCCTTCCTGGTTCTCTGCTTGATGCCATCAGCAGGGTCCTTCTGTGGCACTGCTGTTGTCCTGTGCTTCTGTACTGACTGATGGTGAAGAAGCGGAAGGAGGGGGCCTGGTCTAGTCTTTGGCTGGTCTTAGAATTCCTTTTGTGTGGACAGTGTTGTGGGCCACAGGGTATCCTCTGCTAATAGCCATCGTGGCATGTGTTGTTTGCTAATTTGAGGGAATTGGAGAAGAGTATCCGTTTTCTCTTAATTCCCTGGATGTTGAAGCGGTTGGTTGGTGTGGTCTGCCGTGGGGAGATGTGCTCCGCCCTCTGGCAGCCTGAGTGTTAGTTACTGTTCTTGGAGAAGCGATTGAAAAATGTTCGGAAAGACTGTCATTTCCTGTAGAAATCTGGGGGTTAGGATGTGACAGTATATGGACTGCAGATTTGAAACTGTGTACGTCAGATTTTCAAAATAAAAATTAGGATATGTTTGGGACTTCCCTGGCAGTCCAGTGGTTAAGACTCCACACGTCCAATGCAGGGGGCGTGGGTTCAGTCCCTGGTCTGGGAAATAAGATCCTGCATGCTGCTCGGCAAGGCCAAAAAATAAGTAAATAAATAAAAACCAACTTAGTATATGTTTAGTGCTTTCAGTTGTTTTTATATTTGTGTTTAAGTTTTACTTTTATGCACCTCTTGTTAGTTGGCCTATTTTCTGGCACAGTATTCTCAGTGTGAGGGCTCTTGAAATAACTGGACTAAGTAATTTCTTTTGTTCAACTTTCAGTCCCGTTGAGAAAAGGAACGGCTGTTCTTATGCTGTGATTACACTGGAAATAGTGCTTGTCTATCTTAGCTCACATGTACACACTCTGGCTGTTCAAGAATTCAAATCTGAAACATAAAATAGCGGTACAGGTTTCTTCTCTTTATGCATAATTAAATTAGTTTTAAATTTAGAAACCTTCATGTTAGCAGTAATATGCAATTAAGTGGTAAGTAGCTTTCAATTAAACTATGAAGTGTTCCTGTTTAGTAAGACCAGGAAATGGTCTTCTGGGTATTAAAAATGGAGTGCATTTCTTACTGGTGCACAGAGTGTGGTGGTCTTTGGAGTCAGACCCAGTTTGCAGCCCTGAACTGACTACTTACTATCTCTGAGACTTTTGCCCACTTCAGCAGTGTAGAAATAATAACACATGTTGTAAGAAACAGTAGACGTGAGTGTTTCCTAAATATTTTGTGCTGTGAAATGTGGCTAGCTCCTTGAAGAAATGGTTTTGTGAGCAGACCTGTCTGGAATGTGTAGCATCCTGTTTTCTTGGAGGTTCCCACTGTGTGTTAAGACACTGGGCTCTGAGAACCACTTTGGTCAAGAAATCTGCTTGCTTTGTTCAGCTAAGCATTTCCCAGGCAGAACTTCTCCCTTCTTCCTTCCCCGCCCCTGCTCCCTCCCCTTGTGGGAAGTCTGCAGCATGTTTCAGTTTACTTTTGTTTCATGAATCCTGGTTTTGAAAAGAACGTGCCTAGCACAGTATCCCGAATTTTACTTGAATAATGGTCGATTTCTTTTCATCCTTTTCATTGTTAATTTGAATGATATAAACACTGTTGTGAACTCAGAGCCCACTTTCGTTTTGGTTTAGCCTTGTATGTAACTAATAAGCCCTTTTCTCTTCCAGTTTTATTGAGATGGAATTGACTTAAGCACTGTGTGAGTTTAAGCAGTACAGCCTAACGACTTGACATCTATATATTGAGAAATGAATACCACAATAAGTTTAGTTAACACCCATTCATTCATTTAATAATTTGCTATATTTTATTCCTAATTTACTATTTCAGTTCATGTCTTTTGCCCAAATTGTTGTTACAGACTTTGATATTAAAATCCAGGGGAAAAGCAAGTGTGGTATGAGAGTAAGAATCATAGAAAGTTAGTATCTGGTCAAATTCCTGCTTTACTAATTCAACACAGTTTAAATATTCATCAGCATTCATAATACTTCTTGAACTGCTACTCCTGGCCCTCTGTTAGATATAGTGGAGGATGTGATTTAGATGCTTCCTGCTTTGAGCCTCTCAACACTAGGTACGAAGCATTCATGTCTTTCTTGAGTGATTTGTAAGAATTCTGCAGAGGCAAAAAGTGAGAATATTTTTGCAATAAATAGAGCAATAGATGTTAAAGAATGAAATGTAGAAAAGTATTTTTTTTAAGGAAATAATTGGAAGAGATATAGAACAAATAAAGTAAAATAGAGATAAAAAGAATAAAAGAGTAATTTTATATCCAGAGATGTTTGCTGCTAACATCTTATCTTCCCAGACTTTTTCTTGTGTGTTTCACAAAAAATTGTATCATATTACGCATGCTACTTTGTACCCTGCTTATTTTGTTGACGATGTCAAGTGAAGGTCTTTTAGATGCCTGTGAAGCGTCCTTACCTCCCCAAGAGTCAACCTTAACACTGGGTGCTCTCTCTCTCTTGCTCTCCAACCTGTATCCTGGCAGGAGCTTTAGGCTGAGGAAGAGTGGTGAGAGTAGCAGGTTCTTTTGGTGGGTAAAGTGTCATATATTATATAATTCCTTGTTGGCTATGCATAAACTCTTGGTGTATGCACAACTCTGCGGAGTCCACATCGGTGAGTTGTGTTATACTGAGCCCGAAAGATTTGCATTTAACTTGTTGCTTAGAAGAAAAAAGATTGTTTAGAAATGTCAAGAGCTAGAATATACATATTATGTACAGCTAGACTTACAGATAAAACCTCCAGTTATTGTTACAGCGTGCTAGGTGGTTCATTGCTTTTCTAAGTTAAATTTTAAAAAAAACAAGCCTAAAAGAAAGACATAGGGGGCATTTTTCTCTTGATGAAAGGTAGTCTTGAAAAAATGTTGTATTATTAAACATGTGTTTAGATCTGATTTTTTATTATTTAGAGTTTTATTTAATGGTATCAGGAACTGACAAGGAAGAACGAGTTTCCATTACTAGTTTTCTGAAATTTAATTTTTTTCTTTCTTTCTTTTAAATAATAAAAGGTGGCTATCATCCAGTGAAAATTGGAGACCTCTTCAATGGCCGGTATCATGTTATTAGGAAGCTAGGATGGGGACACTTCTCTACTGTCTGGCTGTGCTGGGATATGCAGTAAGTGTTCCTTGTCATTCGTGCTTTTGATTCCTGATCTGGTTCAACATCTTTATTTTACAACAAGCTAAGGCTGAGGAGCACACCTGCTTCTGTTGTGGCATGTAAAGTGCACAGCCCTGCCCCACCCCAGACTTTCCCCTCTCACTTTGAAGTTCATTTGCCTGTCATCTTTAAATATTAATTTTCTTCTGCCTTTATATCTGAGGCTTATTCATTGTAATTGTGCTACACTCGGGTCATATTGTTTTTCTAGTAATTCATCCATACCAGAAAAACATTCAAATATAAAATAATAATGTTTAGGCCTTTCCAGTCAGTGGTTTTCGACTCTTTTTGAAAGCCATGACCCATAATATGAAACTGCATCCTTAGAGTACACGTACACATGTGTAGTGTGTGTGTGAATTGAAACAAAAGTGTTATAATACTTGATCTTAACCATATGTGATGAACTCTGACATCTATCTAGTCTACTTGATTTTTATGAGGACAAAACAGAAACACAAAGCAAAGAAGAGATTGATACATGAACCCACTGCTTTACTGTAACCCCACAATTTGAAAAGTACTATTTTAAAGGAAAGCTTATTGGAAGTCGCTATTTATTGGAGTTTATTAGAGTTCATTATGATGTCTAGTTTATTAGTCTAGTTTATTAGAGTTATTATAAATGATCACTTCTGTTAAAATTTTTTTAAATGCATTTTTTTTTAAGGGGAAAAAGATTTGTTGCAATGAAAGTTGTAAAAAGTGCCCAGCATTATACAGAGACAGCCTTGGATGAAATAAAATTGCTCAAATGTGTAAGTACTACAAAAATGTGAATGATATCAGAAAGGTTAATGACGAAATTTCACGGAGGGATTTTTCTGGGTTTTACTAAATTAATTGAATTTATTATTTGTAAGTTCAGATAATGGATCTTTTATTTTTTACAACATTTATTAAACATTGGTACAATGGAAATGACTTTCAGTCTTAAACACTTCTGTTCTTGAATTCATTTTTCTCTCTATAGGTTCGAGAAAGTGATCCCACTGACCCAAATAAAGACATGGTGGTACAGCTAATCGATGACTTCAAAATTTCAGGCATGAATGGAATACGTATCCTTTCTGATGGTTCTGTTGCTTCCTAATGGCTGAATTATACTCTAGTTTTTCTTTTTACTTTCAAAAAGTGGAAATATTTTAAGCCCTGTTTGCTGTTTCGCTCTCCACATGCAGCCTCTAGCGTCTTCATGTTATATGATTCTTGAAAGGTGAAAGTTTCTTAGTTATAAGGTGAATTGTTCCTTTTGCTTTTTGAATAGGGAGGCCTTAGTTCTGATTCTGGAAAAGAAGTGTGTCTTACAAGTGGAGCAAGGGCATCTCATGACCTCCCTTTCTCTTTTGAGGATATCAGTTTTAATTGGGCTGCTGTTATATTGTTTGCATGCTTAGTAGTTTTGGGGGAGGGAGGGCTCAGGAGGAAGTGAATGGGGGTAGTGTGGAAGGAGCTCTTATCTTTACCCTCCTTCTGCCCAGGGCATTGGTAAAGGACAGCCCCAGGGGTCGCAGTGACAGCAGAATAACCTGTAGCTCAGAGCTTTTGGCCCAAGTGGAGAGAAGAGATAATGCCTTTAGTTTCCAGAATGCTGTTTCCATATTTTAGTGTTGGATCCTCTGAGATAGCCCTGTATGGGCCTGATCTAAGCAATACCTTCATTCCCCGAGGGTCAGGAATACCGAACCGTGTATTCATTATCTTGTGACTGGTGAGTGCCAGGTGTGTGTCAAGAGCTAGGCTCTTCTCCTCCTTCCTCATCTTTTATTCTTTCCTTTATCATGTTTGGAACAGATCCAACATTTTGATATTTGACCTGTTCAAGCTCCAGAACCTGAGGACAAAGCCTTCTCCCAGCTTACACCCCAGAATGACAGCCTGTTTCTGCATCTACTAAGACTTAATCCCATAGGGAAGCACTTTCTTCACACCCTGTGTATTTGAGGAGGTTTCTATATTTCTTCTAGAGATCGGATTTGAGGATACTAGCAAGTTCTGGTGACTGCTGATGTTACCTCACCCTTTGCCTCAAGACCCTTTCTGATAGCTGCAAAGTACATTTTCCCCTCTTGATCGATAGAAAGATAGAGCTGGTCCTTCTCTGCCCCTGGTCTCCAAGTGAGCCTGTTTGTTTATGTGCAGGCAGGGTAGCCCTTCCTCTTGCATCAGATCTGGGAGGCAGTTCTTAAGACAGCTGATAGAGGGTTTCTTTGGAGAAAACACCTGATTTGTAGGTAAATGGAGGGTTTTTTTTGATATATATTGAATACATTCCAGTGGCTATTTCTACTGTTAAGTAGTCCAGATTTGTCAATGCTTTGAGAACACTCAGGTCATAATTTAGAAGCCTTGGGCTTCGGCTCTATGCCTGCTACTGACTTTAGACCTTAGTTGCCATTTTTTTAATGAGCTTGGGGAATAGAAAGGAACTTCTGGCTTTAGATCATCTGTGCATAAGTCTGTAGCACATATGCTGTCCAGTGTCATAGAAATATTTTTCTTATTTTTATTAAAGATATTTAAAGCAATAGTTACTATGATGATGTGGTAGATCCAGATACTGTAAAAAATATTAACTCATCTGACCTTCTTATAGGCCTGTATATAGGTCTCCAGGGCTGAACAAAATATTCTCAAAGGGTTTCAGAGCCATTTAAAATCTTTCTGTGTGAATGACGTGAATATATTTATATGAGGGAATTTGGTGGCTCACAGTTCTGGAGGGTCAGTGGTTGACTAGAATTTCTATTAAAAAGCAAAACAAAACAAAACCCAGATTCCTGAGATTTCATTATTATAGGTTGGTCTTAATGGCCATGCCATGTCTTGTGATCATACATTCTTAAAAACTTAAAAAGTTAAAATTGATCTAGTGACCCAGTGAAAGATACTGTTGAAGGAAAAGATTAAATGTCTTCACTGTGTTTGGTAAATTTCTGTTTTATAAAGTGTTTTATGTGACGTATAGGGTAGAAATTTAGGTAGGCAGGCAGGACACTTAAGGCGGGAGAGTTCTCTATTATTTTCCTCATCAGTTTCTGTGAGGTTTCAGTCCTGCTCATTTCCGTTAAGGCTGATTGTCAGAAGAAGTGTGCTTGAGAGTGTGGGTAAGTGTGGGGTTGAGTCATGACTCTGCCACCTTTGGGTGGTGTCAGGCAGGAGGGTTCTTTAAAATCCCCGAAGTTTACTCTCCTCGTTCCTTATGTTGTTATGAGTACACATTAAATCATATACGGCACATGGTAGGTACTTAGTATGTGTTAGATCTTTCTATTTAGGTGAGGAACAGCAAATGACCACTTTTGGTATTATTGATAGTATTGAAGTTGTATTTTATAAAGAAATAATTGTTTTGCCAAGTGCCACAATGATGCTGCTTTTAGTAATTCCATCACTGCAGGAAATGTGTCCAGAAATGATCCTTAACCCTGTCCCAGATGTCTGCATGGTCTTTGAAGTGCTTGGCCACCATCTCCTCAAGTGGATCATAAAATCCAACTACCAAGGCCTCCCAGTACGTTGTGTGAAGAGCATTATTCGACAGGTGAGGCTTATGACGGCAGCCCCCAGCTCCCAATACCTAACTGGCTAGCCTTTCAACACGAATTCCTGTCTTAAAAAAAAAAAAAAAAAAAAGGCATGCACGGGCTTCCCTGGGGGGCGAGGGGGTGGCGGAGCGGCTGGGCGCGTGAGGCACGGCCGCTGAGCCTGCGAGTCCGGAGCCTGTGCTCCGCAACGAGAGAGGCCAACAAGGGAGAGGCCAAGTGAGAGGCCCGCGTACCGCAAAAAAAACAACAACGAACCAAAAAAAGCATGCACAAACACATATATATCTCTCCAGTTTTAGAAATAAATACATATATCACAGTGCATAACATTTTGAACTTATTAAATCAATTTTGTATTTAGTTAATGATAAGCCATTCTGTCTTGTAAAGGGAGTAATATGTAAACGTCAAGCATATATTTCTTTTGGCATATGGATCTTTTTTCAGGTAAGTGATACAGTAAAATGAGAAATTGTTTTATCCAGTATCATTACTACGAAATGTCCCACTTAGTTCCTTAGAAAATAATACAGAAAAAAACATATAATGTATTGTGTTTATTTGCTATTTCTAAGTATTTGGATGAAGGATAAATGGAAGGTAATTTAAGGAATGTTTAAGTTATATATGGAGTATTGTATTTGTACTTTGTTCAATTGCCTTTTGACAATAGAAAACCTTCCGTTAGTGTGTGGTTCGGTGTTGATGCTGCAGCAGATATTTATAGAATGGAAGTATACACATATGGAAGATTTCCTTCTAATTAGAAATGTTTACTAGATTCAGTTTTCTGCATGGAACATACCAGTCTTTGACTCATTGCCCTTAGAGCCTAAATTAGGAAAGTTGCAGATACGCTTTATTCTGGATTACCTATTCTGATATAATGGATAATTACCATGCATATTTCTGCAGAGTAAGTAATATCAGGGAGGTTGCTTGGTTTGCTTGAGAAGAGGACTAGTTGGTTTGGAGCCCATTCCTTGTCCCCGGGCCCAGAGCTTGAGCTAGACCTGCCTGGGGGTTCTAGACCTGAAATACAGACCTTGATCCATAATTCTTTTTTTCTTTTTTTTTTTTAATATTTATGTATTTATTTGGCTGCATTGGGTCTTACCTGCGGCACGCAGGATCTTTTGATGCGGCGAGCAGGCTTCTCTAGTTGTGGCATGCGAACTCTTAGTTGAACCACTGGAATAGAGGAAAGTGTAATGAGTACACTTAAATCTTGGCAATAGACTTAATTTCACATTCTCACTTTGGCACTTACTACTTTGTGACCCTGATCAAATTACTTCTGTAAGCCTGTGTCCGCATTTGTCACATCAGGATGATAATGCATAATTTGTGGCTTAATTGTGCAGATGAGTTTGGAGGGACTGCTGATAAAGCTTTCAGCATGGTGACCAGCACAGAGTAGCCGTCCTGTCTCCCCAGCTGCATACTCTGAGCACCGGGAGTCCCAGATCACGTGTTGTAGGTTTCACATCTCTCTGTAGCTTCCATCACATCGTAGGAAGTCAAGGAACGTTTCTGAGAGGTTAGCTTTCCCTAAATGAAAGAAGAAATGTATGTTCCTCTTATTCTTACTGTACAAAGTGGCTGACCTTTCTGTGATCTGAAGGGTTTGTAGCTAAAGGTTCCCACTTATTTTTGAAAAGTCGCAGCACAGTTGAATCACTTGCTTTTCCAGGGTTTCCTATACACTATTATCAATCTTTTGATCAGTTCTTAACTCTCCTTGTGACCTTGTGCAGGGTCCTCTCTGTGACCTCTCCTTGTGACCTTGTGCAGGGTCAGGAAGGGCCATCCTCTGGTTTCTGGTGATCGTGGTGAGGACACCCCCTTGCCTCCCCCAGGCTGCTTCTCTGGCCTCAGGCGTGGGGTATATTTGCCCCCCAGCTTTCATTTCTTTTTCTTTTAAAATCAGCTTTATTGAAGTCTATTTTATGTTTAGCTTTTATTTCTAAAGCCGAAAGAAGAAAAAGGGTGCTGTGTTGTCAGTGTTTGTTATTTGTGGTGCATTCAAGGTGTACCACAGGTGATGGGGTTTTAAAATGCTGTTGCTGTTCTTTATTATTTTTTTAATTAATTAACTTATTTATTTTTGGCTGCGTTGGGTCTTCGTTGCTGCGCACAGGCTTTCTCTGGTTGGGCAAGCGGGGGCTACTCTTCGTTGCAGTGCACGGGCTTCTCATTGCGGTGGCTTCTCGTTGTGGAGCACGGGCTCTAGGCATGCAGACTTCAGTAGTTGTGGCATGAGGGCTCAGTAGTTGTGGCAGTGGGCTCAGTAGTTGTGGCTCATGGGCTCTAGAGCACAGGCTCAGTAGTTGTGGCACACGGGCTTAGTTGCTCTGCGACATGTGGGATCTTCCCAGACCAGGGCTCGAACCCGTGTCCCCTGCATTGGCAGGCGGATTCTTAACCACTGCAACACCAGGGAAGTCCCTGTTGCTGTTCTTGAAACGTGGCCTTTATTTTCTTCTGTACTCGAAAGGGTAGCCGATATTTTACTTTTTAAAACCTTATGGTTTAATTCATTGCCCTGTCCAGAAACCTTGTGAAGAAGTGGCTGCTTGCCGTTCCGTGAAGCTTGGTAAGGGCAAGGCTCTGAATTTGGTGACTTTGCTACGATACATAGGTACAGCGTGTAGCTCTGGATTTTTGAATTATCATTAACTCTTTCTGTTGTCATGCTTGTCACTAACATTTATTATGCTCTTTCAGGCATTCACAGTTTTAAGTGCTTTCTTTGTATTACGCTGTCTATTCCTCACCACAGCTTTGTGAGGCCAGAGGTGTTCTTACCTTCACTCTGAGGAAGGTGTTAAAAGTTTTCCACAGGCCCACAGTTACTGTGGGGAATCAAGACTAGAATACAGGTGGTGCAATCCGGAATCCATGCTCTTGACTGCCGGGTAGTGTGAAATGTCTGCATAGGAAGACTGGGGAGCATTTTAAATGATAGCATGTCTTGCGAAGAGGATGCGTTCATGTCTCTGTTTGTGGAAATGGTTTACTTCTATGTTTGTGTACGTTTAGTGTTTATTTACCATTTAAATGATCTCACTGGTCCTTTTGTCAATGAATGCATTATGATCAAGCCAGTATTGTTCAGTTTTAGAATAGAAAATTAATTTTAAGCTGGTAAACATTTTTATGTTCTTGCATTTGATGGGTGTGGCAGTGCATATGATTCTGTACTCACTTGGAATTCTCCTCCTCAGAGTGTTGGGTATGCACGTCAGAAATTCGGGGAAGTCGCTCCTTCAGGGGAGTTGAGCCCCTTTCCCAGCTCATTCCTCTGTGCTTCCTCAGCGCTGGGCGCAGTGTTTCATCTTTCATCCTGACGATATTCACAAGTGAAGTACAGCTGCTGAATTTTCTCATTAGTTCTCACTCGTCAGAGTTAGAAAGAAGAAGGAGCAGAGGGCGATTTCGGGACAGAGCGGATGAGGACAGTGTGCCCTGGCTCTAGTCCTCTGTGATCGAGGCAGGTATTCGCCACACTTCTCCATTCAGTCTGGCATGTGCTCGTCTGAGCAGCTTGTAGCATTTACCTCCTGTCTGTCCTAGCGAGGAAGAGAGATCTGGTGGGTGCCTTCACTTTCCAGTAGCAAAGCTTCTGGCTTGAGGAGAGCCCTCTGCTGTCTCGCTCCACCCCTGCAAGCATCAGTGTCTCGGAGCAGTGCTGCTGGTCTGGTTCCCCACCCCACCCCACCCCCACCCCCTGGCGCTGCGTCACAAGGCCTGGCCCCGTCTGCTCGCCCTGTGTCCTTTGTTAAGGTGCCCACATTGTGACCAGAGTCAGGAGACACTGTGGACAGTTGCTGTCCTTGTGTTCCTCTGTGCATTTTAGAATTTGGGAGGAAGCTCACTGTGGGTGGCCAGCAGGCCAGGGAGGCACCTTCAAGTGAAACCTGCACATTGATTATTCCCAACTCCCTCCTTTTATGTCTGCGACAGGACCTATTTCTAGCACGCCGAGGTGGCGAAGAGCCAGTTTATGTTGTTAACACCATAACAGACAGTCTCTGACACGGTTCATAGGTGCCTAGAAAGAAACGTTAGAGACTGTGCTGACCAAGCCCTTGTTTTCTGGCTGAATTTGAGGTCAGGGAAGGGGAGCCATAGCTAGTCAGTTCCTGAACCAGAGCACGGTCTCCTGGCTCCCAGCCCGGACTCTGCCTCCAGGTCTGCACTGCTGCTGACTCACATGCAGAAAACTGGCCCCGCCTCGGTGTGTGATCTCCGTCCCCTAAGTGGGATGCAGCCCTGTCCCTGACCCCTCTGTGGCTACGCTGATGGCTGACTCCTGGTCAAGCGGATGGCAGCCCAGGGTCTCTGCAGCCTGTGCTGCCTCCTGCTGGTGAGGCTAAGTATGGTTTGTAGGCAAGAGAGACACATGCTGTGATAAGACAAGAGAGGCAACAGAGGTCTGTCCTGGGGCATGAAGCTTGCTTGATTCATTGATTTTTTTTTCATGATCATCATTATTCAGTGTAAATGGTTGTAAGATTGCCCATCATTATTTGATTCTGGATTCTGGGGTGCTTAATTGCTTTAAGTTCGCTGGCTGTGAACAGAAATACTGTTTTTGAACATAAACCATTCTTCTTATAGCTAAAGATTTTTTAAAAAATATATTAGTCTAGAATTAAAAGGATCAGAGTTTTATCAGGTAGAGCCCATTCATATTATAGATGGGAGAAATGAGACCCAGAGAAATTTAATAAGTGACTTAGAAATTTAATGTTATGGTTATTAAGTCAGTATCAATACAAGTCTTCTGACTTAGTTCATTTCTACCATTTAGTTTGAATTTCCTGTGAGCTAGACCTTGTATTTGTGAGTTTTCCACACATTATTTCTAATTCTTAACCATATTTCTGTCTAATGGATATGTTCCCCCTTTTATAGATATGAAAACGGAAGCTCAGGCAGCTTAAGTACCTTGCCTAGGGAATGAGTGATTGAGCAGTAATACAGGAGTGGTCTGAGTCCCAAGGTCGTGATTTAACAGTGCGCCACGCTGTCTCTTAACTGTTTCCTTTAAGATTTGTGTTATCTTAATTGACTTAATTTATCCCGGTGATAGTCTGTTCCTTATGTTCATTGTCAGACACAAGCTGTGCTTCTTGAGGAAGGTTAACCCAGTTGAGTGCAACAGCCAGTATTAAAAATCTGGAACCTTAAATTCTTACTGAAAACACTTTGCTCCTCTCAAGTGCCTCATTGTCATTGGAATTCATTTAACACCTTTGGATACTGGATCACATTAACTCTTACCTGAGTAGCTTCTCACACAGTAAAACAACCTAAGAACTATGAAAGAACTAAGGTGGAAAGTTAGGAGCAACTTGTGCATGGGTGGTGGTGAAAAGATATTTTTGGAAAGATGCTGACATTTTGAGTTAATATTTGATGATTGAAATGAAGTTTCAGCTGGAATAATTTAAAACAGTTTCTAAAAACTCTTAATTCCTTTTACTCCCGCAGGCTGGAAGTCATCAGTGTACCTGTCCATTAATTTCTTGTACTTCTCATAATTTCTCTTGTTATTCAGATATAAAAACTCCACATGATATTTCAGTTTGTTGAGAGAAGATACGGGAATGCCAGTGAATAACATACAGGCTCGTTGGATTGTGTTCCCTTCAGGATTTTAACCTTATTCTCTATGGAAATATATAATGATCTCTTTCTTCCTATTGGTTCTTTGGCATTTTAAACATAATTTAAATATATTCTAATCGAAGTATTATCTAAAACATTCAATATTAATTCTAAGGTAAAAAGTCAAGGCCCAGTGGAGACAGGGAATTTCTATTGCTATGTGTCAAACATCTAGAAGGGTGTATGGTCTGTTACAGGAGCTCAACTGTTGTTCAGTCAGTGAAGTCATGTAAAAGTATTTCCAAGGAAAAGTTTTCTTTAGGTATGTGTGGGGATTTTCATCTTGTTTAAGGGACAGGTCTCCCTTTCATTTTCTTCTGAAACCTCTTTACCTTGACTCACTAATGTTTTGTCGTCTGTTAAGATTGTTTAGCCAGGAACTCAAGGTAGACAGGAGCATTGGGTTTTTTGCTGAGAACTTGTCAGAGCTGATTGATACTATATATCTTCTGCTTGTCTTTTTCTCACTTCCTTGCCTAGTGTCGTCAAGGCCCCTAAATGACTTAAAATGTTTGAATGAGGATGTTTATCAAATGTTAACGTTTATTGAGCTTGTAGAGTTTCTGATGTATGGGAACATGAACTGTATTTTTTAAATATTTTTTTCCTTATGGAAAGAATTGAAACAATTCCCCTCTAATGGAAATAATTCCAGAAAAACTTTGGCCTTGCATTTAGGTCACCATACTCTGTAATTTTTGTGATATATATGATATGCATATGATATATATAGTAAGTACATGAGTATCTTGGCTTAGCATTTTCTTTTAGTTCAGTGCTATAGTGTTGCCTGGATACCAGGGCTATTTAATCCTCCTTTCCTGCAATATTAAAAATGTACACACATCATTAGGCATTATGGGAATGCAGATCAATGAGATACACACTTCACACCCAGTAGGGTGACTAAAATAAAAAGACAAGTATTGGCCATGATGAAAAAATTGGAATCCTCGCACGTTGCTGATTGGAGTGTAAAATGGTGCAGCCATAGTATAGAACAGTTTGGCAGCTCATTGAAAGGCTAAATATAGAGCTACCGTATGACCCAACGACTGCACTCCTAGGCATATACCCAAGAAAAATAAAAAACATATGTCCACACAAAAACTTGTACATGAATGTTCATAGCAACATTATTTATAATAGCCATAAAATGGAAACAACTCAAATATTCATCAAGTGAATGAAATGTGGTATTTTCAATGGAATATTATTTGGCATTTAAAGAAATGCGGTACTGATACATGCTACCCTTGGATGAACCTTGAAAGTACTGTGCCAGTTACAAAAGACCCCTCTGTATCATTCCACTTATATAAAATGTCCAGACCCAGCAAAGTAGATTAGCGGTTGCCTAGGGCTGGAGGAGTTGGGAGGAGAGGGGGAGTGACAGCCAATGGGTGTGCAGTGTTTTCTTCTTTGTGTGATGAAAATGTTCTAAATTAGATAGTGGTGGGGGCTGTACATCTAGAAACCATTGAATGGTACCTTTAAAAGGGTGAATTGTGTGACATGTAAATTATACCTCACTGAAGTTGTTATTTAAAAGAGTATATGTATAGATGCATTTGCTTGCATGAGCTTAAATTATCTCCAGGGTGATACACATTGCTTGCTTCTGGGAAAGAGCTGGGTTCCTCTGGGGGCCGGGGTGGGAGGGAGATTTTTACTAAAACCCTTTGTATCCATTGTATTTTGTACCTTGTAATGATTTTAACTATTTTACAAACAAATGTTAAATAATAAAGGTATCGATAAGTCATCTCCTCTCTTGATTTCACGTGATCAGGTCCTTCAGGGGTTAGACTATCTACACAGTAAGTGCAAGATCATTCATACTGACATAAAGCCGGAAAACATCTTGATGTGCGTGGACGATGCATATGTGAGAAGGATGGCAGCCGAGGCCACCGAGTGGCAGAAAGCGGGCGCTCCTCCTCCTTCGGGGTCTGCAGGTGAGGGCTGAGCCAGCTTTGTTTCAGTCTGTGCGGGGCATTGAGAGCCTGCCAGGTTGTACACTGGGGGCAGTTGAGTCAGATGTGTATGTATTAGGGACTTTTGTAAGAGCCTGATGACTAGAAGCAGCTAGACCTTTTTCTTGAACAGGAAGATGCCCCAGTTAAGTTGTACTTTAATGTTTGAATTACTTTGTCCTCCCTTAAAAGGTCATTGAATTCTTACCTGCTGCTTCATCTCCTTGGAACACTGTCCTGTGTTGCCCGCTTCTCTGCAGAAGACTGTCTCTTATAGCAAGAGGTCTCATGTAGCCGACGTTCAGTCGTCAGAGTGCTTCCTTGACTCCAGTGAGCACAGCTACATCAGTCTGAGTCTAGCTGGTGGATTTAGAATTAGTTTCAAAAGACTTCAGGGTGGGAGAAGACCAGCTGACTTGAGTATTGGTGTATGTAGTTTAATTTCTGGTTTTCGCAGTGTCTTGGTGGCAGTGAAGTGTGGACGGTGCTTTCACCGTCTCTTCACGTGCTGTCTGCCCTAGTGTGTTGTCAGGCAGGCACGGGGACTGCAGGGCAAAAGCCCTCTGTCTGCCTGGGGCTCTTGGGACATGCACCACTTCTGAATCTCGTTTTCTAACATCGGGGTGTTTTTTTGATCACGGAACCATAGTCTATCAAGCTTCTGACACTGGCCAAGTCTGTTCATGTGATTTCTAGAATATTTGCCGCAGTATTGGACTTAACTTTAGTTGTATAAACTTGTGAAATAGTTTTCAAACATAGTTGTGTTAAGTGAATTGTGCATTTCATTGTCTTTAAACAAATTTGGTTGGATGACTCTTCTCCATTTCCTTATCAGTCAGTGCTTTGGGATTGTCTGTTTTTGAAATGAATGCGTATTTAATTTTAGATAAGTAAGAGAAATGACTCCATATGAACCACTATGGCTTTGCCTTTTAAGAGCCAATCATTTGTTTGAGTTGGATAAACTTTAGGTCTCTCTGATTCAGAAGTTTTAATATTTAACAGTTGTTGAAGTTGCATAGCCATTAAAAGACAGTAGTTATTTCATTTTACAGTTCAGATTACCTACATAAAGATAAGTATCTATTTCGCTCTAAATGTTCATTTTATTTTGTTTTGTTCTAGTGAGTACTGCTCCACAGCAAAAACCTGTAAGTACCTACACATATACTTATATTCACCTCCATGTCAAAAGTGACTATTCATTATTGAACTTTTAGAATTGTAACATTAGTTTTTGTTTCTTTCTGCAACAATTTTTCATTAAGGATTGTTTGGGGGAATTGGTTGTGCATTTTTTTGTTCCTTTCTCAATCACAGATGTTGTAATGTATTTTAATGTAAAAGACAGTCATGTTTATAAATGCTGGGTATCCTTGATTATGTAAGACAATGTTTTGATAAGGTGAAGTGATTTTTGGAGTTGGGGGATAATTAGAGCTGTCCCAAATTCTGTCTTTGTTTTCCTCATGCACTTCCTGGAGTGCTCTTGGCTGAGTCTGGTAAAATGTGAGGTTATAGAGATAGGGTTTTAAGAGTGATTGTTCCAAAAACACTTTATATTATTTCTGATCTGCCTCTAAGTTACCTGTTTTTCTGAAGCTGCTGTTCTGATTTTTTTACTTCCAGGTAGTAGTTAAATATGAAAGAGTATTATCTTTGTGGTCCTGTCAGAATGCTGAGGTGTGAGCAAATGAAACAAGCTGTTTGGAATTAAACCCTACCCTGGCGGAGCTAAACCAGGCTTGGTTCCAGTCGAGCATAGAATATATATATATATATATAATGTCTTGAGTTGATTGGTCATCTACAAGTTTTAAAAGATCTTTATGAACCAAAAGCTTTTGGAAGGAAATGTGCAGAACTTCAGAGTGCTGCCAGCAGCCCTCAGTTTGGAATGGAAGTCCGAGTAGGAGAGGGAGATGTAAGAATTATTCCACCTGGCCTGCTGAGTCCTGCTGTGGCTTGAGCAGCTTGTTTTGACTATTGATTCTGTGAAAGACTGGAGGCTCTCGTTGCCAGTACTTTCCAAGTCAGCTCGCCATGACTGGAGGCAGACTGAAACCATGGCTTTTTCTTTTTTCCCTTTACTTCATGTGCTCATTTTTTACAGTTCCTGCAGTCTTGGCTGTTGATGACAGCTCAGTGTGTGAGACCCAAACGCAGACAGTGCTGTTGACCAACAATGAATGAAATACACCTGATTTGGCAGGCAGTTGAGTAAGACAGTTAAGGAGAAGGGGACATTGTTACTTTATAGACAGGCAGCAGCAAATAAAACTTGCAAGAGGTGCTTCTTGTTTAAAGTCAAGAGTATCTCAGCATATTTCGTTCTTGTTAGAGTTTAAAGGGGAAAGACTTGCTGAAGGGCAAGACCTGGTAGTAGTCCCGTTACGTGATATTAGCACTGGTTTCTTTTTTTCTGGTTTTGCTGTAACCCTAACCGTGATGTGGATCTCATGTCTGGGCATGTGATTTTAATTGAATGCGACCTGAGAAAAACAGCCTGTGTTGGTATTTGCCATGCTGCCAGCACTTATGCTGTTGCATAGTGCTTTAAAAAGAGGCAAACTGACCTGTGGTATTTTCTTAACATGTTGTAGATAGGAAAAATATCTAAAAACAAAAAGAAAAAACTGAAAAAGAAGCAGAAAAGGCAGGCTGAGTTATTGGAAAAGCGCCTGCAGGAAATAGAAGAATTGGAGCGAGAAGCTGAAAGGAAAATAATAGAAGAAAACGTCACATCAGCTGTACCTTCCAATGAGCAAGATGATGAATACCACCCAGAGGTGAAACTAAAAACAGCAGGATTAGAGGAGGCAGCCGAGGGTGAGACTGCGAATGACAATGGTCAGTGGAATCTGGAGACAGGGCTGCATAGGAGCCCAGGAGCTCCCACAGTAGGGACCCGCCCGGTCAGCATGCAGGGTGACTTGGTGCTGCGCTGATGCTTCAGACAGGAGGGTGGTTCTCTCCAAGGCCTTATTGGAGAGCGTGGGGAGTTGTTTGGTACTTGCTTTGTAAAATGTGTGCCAGAAATACGTTAATATTTCAAAATAGTTTTTTTTTTTTTTAATGTCAAACGTCTGAGAAACACCATGTCTTTATCATGCTAATGATTGTCCTTCATTTTGTAATTAAGCTTTTACTTAACGGTAATGTACCCTCAGACTTCTTCTGAATAATTTATAGAGGAGAGGGTAGAAATGGAAGTACAGCTCCATTTATGCCCATTTTCCCAAAGAGCTAACTTTTTCTAGTAAGAGTAGGCCAGTTATTTAATAAATGAAAGATAAGATTTAGAGTACCTAAAGATTTTACCCTGAGAGCCAAGAGGTGTCTGCTCTGTAGCACATTCAAATTTGTCTCTTGTTGGAGGAGATAAGTGCCTACTGCACTCTGTTATGGAGAGAGACAAGTTCTCATTCTTACCCTTCAACTTTTTAAGGCGAAGCTGAGGACCAGGAGGAGAAAGAAGACACTGAGAAAGAAAACACCGAGAAAGACGAAGACGATGTTGAGCAGGAACTCGCGAACGAAGACCCTACTTGGATGGAATCACCCAAAACCAATGGCCATATTGAGAATGGCCCATTCTTACTGGAACAGCAGCTGGACGATGAAGACGATGATGAGGAAGATTGCCCAAATCCCGAGGAATATAACCTCGATGAGCCAAACGCAGAAAGCGATTACACATATAGCAGCTCCTACGAACAATTCAATGGTGAATTGCCAAATGGACGACATAAAATTCCTGAGTCCCAGTTTCCAGAGTTTTCCACATCGTTGTTCTCTGGGCCCTTAGAACCTGTGGCTTGTGGCTCTGCACTTTCTGAGGGATCCCCGCTTACCGAGCATGAGGAAAGCAGTCCATCCCATGACAGAAGCAGGACGGTTTCAGCCTCCAGCACTGGGGATTTGCCAAAAAGTAAGTGTCCCTTCCCATCAGGTGTCTGCTTTCAGTGGTCCAAGTGTCATACCCTTGACACATGCTGTGAAGGGAATTGGCTGGAGATGGTAAAGCCGTGTATGTATGCGTTAACCATTTTCATTTTATTACTTTTGTACTCTTGAATAAGTTAATGTAATTTTAAATATATTCTGTGCCACTAGGCTTTCTCTTTCTCTTTGCATATCAGGTCCCATTTCTGAGTTTTTTTCCTTCTTCCTGTCTTTAGCTAGTGATCATACATTTGCAGAAACCTTCCAAGCCTAGCATCTTACCCCTGTAGCTTTTTAGCATGTGTAGTTTAATTCAGTTTGTACTTCCACCTGACAGTGTTATATTTCGTTTTTGGTTTTTTGTTTTGTTTCGTTTCTATTCAAGGAATAATGTGCCTGCTCTTTATTTGTAGTGAGGAGGAAGTGTCTTACTTTATTTTGATAGCTGTTCTTGATTATAAGACTCTTGACATTTTAAAGGAAGCGGTGTGGGTTTAAATGTGATGATGATGTGTATATATCAAAACCTGATTTTGAGGGTGAGTGCCACATGACAGATCTCTGCCTGTGGCATGCTAGGGGACTTCTCAGTAGGCAAACCCCGGGTGTCACACACAGTTGGTCTCCATTCTGGCCCACAGTGGAAGAGCTCAGAAACCTCCTCTGCTCCCTCTGCTGGCAAGAATGTTAACACATGGTGAGTCAGTTGATGAGCTGGCGCTGCAAATAGCTCAAGATGTTCTGCAGCCCCTTTGATTCCAGTAGCTGAGAGACCTGCAAAGCCTTCTCTGTTACTCATTGGCCACAGCTAGTCATCCTAAGGATATATATATAATTTTTAATTGGACAGACACATTCTGCTCCTGTTTACCTTTACCCTGACCAGAGGGTTTGAAGGTGCTTAAGGAAATGCCTTCACGAGGAATGTAGCCTCATCTGAGGAAAAAAACACCTCTGTGTCTCCTTTACTCTCATTCTGCTCCCATATTACTGCTGACACTTTTGGTTACCAAGCGCGTGTGTGTAGGGGTGTCTCCCCACCTAAACAGTTCTCCGGCACCAGCTCGGTGTCTTGCAATTGAAGTGAAGTCTGACACTACTTGGAGATAGTGTCAGATCCCAGGGTTGAGGGCTCAGTCTCACAAGACTGTGTCGGTCTCCCCCTGCACTCCCCCCACATCCATCACAAGTCCATGTTGTCACCTGTGCTTCTGAACAATCAGCTGTAAATCAGAGGTTTCTGTGACGCTGCCCTGGGGCTGGATTAATTTGTTAGAGCAGCTCACGGAACTCAGGAAAACAGTTTACTTGCTAGATAATCAGTTTATCAAAAAAGGATGTAAGTCAGGAACATCCAGATGGAAGGGATGTGTAGGGCATGGTGTATGGGAAAGGAGGGAGGCTTTCATGCTCTTGCCAGAGACACCACCCTTCCTGCAGTCTCTCACGCATTCCTTCATATCGTGGACTCATGGATTTTTTTTTCTCTTTAATTAACACATCGAATTGTGTGTTATCATTTACAGCTTTTTTTTGAATGCCAGGATTATCCCACATTTGGTCTGTGTGAGCCCCCTCAGGTTGGCTCTTAAATCCTTTTGACAGAACCCCGTTATTCCTCAGGTGCCCCCTTGCTCTTCTAGAACCATGTGCCCAGCTTCATACTTTCCCTGCCCTAGGCTGGAGTCAGCCGTGTCTCCAAGTAATTTTTGCTATTGATATTTTTAAAATGTTTTTTATAATGTACATGATATATAGGAACAGTAATATGTAAAGTTTATAAACATGCATATATTGAAATAAGTGTTCAAACATCCTTTACTGATGGAGTAAACAGTGAAAAGGTTTAGTAATCTCAAGTGTAGCATAGTGTCTTCCCCATTTATTTTTGAGACATAATAACAAGTGTCTGTGTGAACGTGGCATGCTTGCTCATGCTTCTGTGCCTTTGCTGACGCTTTCCCTCCTGCTTGGAATGCTTCCTCCTCTTTGTTTGGGCACACCTCTTTTCTTCTGTTGGGTCCTCACTGTGTTCCCTGGCAGGTCCCAGTTCTTGTTCCCCTCTTTTCCTGCTGGTCACACTTTTCTTCACTGTGTGTTCGTTGTTCGTTTCCACTGTCTTCCTCTTCACTAGGATGTAAACGCTTTGAGAGCACTGTGTATTTCTGTCTTTGTATCCTCAGCATCTAACTCAGTGCTAAGATAAGCATTTATTGAATAATGAACCAAGAAATCAGGGATACCTGACGATATTCTTCCATTCTTCCCGTTCTCCCACCTTTGCCCATTCACAGTCAGAATTTTACTTTGTCCAAAACACATTCTGTCCCCAGCACCCTGGCTGTTGCGTGAATATTGCATCAGGGAGAAATAGGAGGTCTCTTTCTTTCATTGATCCTAGTCTCTTACTAAGCTGACCTTTTCATTGATCCAGTCATTTATTTGGAGGCACTCGGCTTGGGTTTGCAGCCTGGTCTTTGGATAACTGTGGACAGCCTCCCGCAGGGGAGGTGTTTTGTTTCCTACATGGAAGGGGTATGGTCTAGAGACTGGAAGTTGGCCACCTGGTACTACGAGAACATGAGGTGAGAGAAACATCCTTCCCTGACTTTGTGTAGATCCTTGTCGTTATAGCAGAATGGATACGTCAGGAAATAGTAGAAGAAAAGCTGGGGCCACAATGAGAAGATTGAGAAAGAACTTACATGCCAGGCTAAGGATGTGAACTTCTCCCTGGAGTAGTTTTGTAGCCGTTGAAGGTTGAGAAGAGGAGGGTTCCTCTTGGGTTATTACTGCTGGAGCTGTAGCACGTATCTGGGCTCAGCACATCTGAAGCACAAAGGCCTGGGAGCAGGGTGGTACCTGCAAGGTGTATGTTGAATCCTTTCCCCCTCACCTAGTAGTGACCCATGTCAGTGGCAGTGCTTGGCTAGGCTGCTGGAACATGACTCCACACTTTTCTCACTCCACTGTACTTCCTAGTCTGTTCCCCAAGGAACAGTCCCGAGAGGGCTTTTTTTTTTTTTTTTTTTTTTTTTTTTT